ACCTCCCGCATAGTGTGGGGAACCCTTTGAATTGACGGCACTTCCGCCTTGGCCTTTGAGTCGAATACAATAGTTCCATCCTAACACCTAAGTGGTGGAAGGCTACTGTGTGAGAAGTTCTTTTCAATCTTCTTGGCCAGCGTCCAGAAAGACCGACTGCCATTGCGCTGCGACATTACCCTGTGCCTAACTTTTATATCATGCTGGGTTTTGGCATTGCGAACCGCTTCGTTATATTTGTTTCTGGACTCGACGTTGGCTTGTCTGTTCTCTACAGTGGGGTTTTGTAAGTAGGTTCCTTGATCTTCTGCTGGCGAGCAGTGTCACACGATTTGTTGAACCAGCCGTTGGACCCTGGTTTAGGAACTTTCACTGTGTGAGGGATGTATTCCTCCATTCCGACGTGGATAATTTCGGTTATTGAAGAACAGACAGTCGACGCATCCGCGTCAGTGAAACAGACATCTCTCCAAGGAAAGCTAGAGAAGAAGTCTCTGAGCCCCTCCCAGTCGGCATGTCCGTAATGCCAAGTTTTGCGGCCTGTGCGAGTTTCTGCTGCCACAGCGGCTTCTGACCGAAACCTAACCTCCACAACACCGTGATCTGAGTTACCCAGGGGGGACAGGACAGCAGTGCTGTAAGGGGCAGGATGCGTGGTCAGAAAGAGATCCAGCAGGCTACTGGCGCGAGACGAGACGCGGGGGAAAAAAGTAGGGCTCGTCACCAGCTGGGTCAGCCCTTGAGTAAGAGCGAACGCTTCGACTGCACGACCTGCTGCATCGGTCTTATTTGGGCCCAACCAAAGCTCATTATGGGCATTGAAATCACCGAGAAGAACTACCTCTGAAGCGGGGTGATTGATGTTCAGGAAGTCGATCTGGACGGCGAGGTATTCGAGTAGGTCATCCCAGTTATGGTTCGAGGGAGAGCGATAAAGGCAGCAAATAAATTTGGGTGATGTTTTGGAGTTGAGGCGAAGCCACAGAATGTCCTTCCGGTCTGATTCCAAAGAAAGATCCCTGGAGCAGGAAAGACTGCTGCGGACAAAAGCCACAACTCCCCCGTTCTTTCTCAGATTGGAGTGCACCTCGTAGTTTGGGAAGTTGAGATGGTTAATCGGTGCAGTCTCTGAGATTTTTGTCTCCGCCAAGAAAAGCACGGCGAGACGATTGGATTGCAGGTAGTGATGAACAGCATCAATGTTGCTGTTGATCCCGCAGATGTTCGAAAAACAAATTTTATCTTCGATGTTGTCGAAATCGAAGCTTTCCAACGAAAAGGGATAAAGAAAAAAAAGAAAGAAGCTATCTTTGAGTCCGACGTCCGGGCTTTCTCATGCAAAAATCGTCAGGTAAGTGGCTCCTTTATCTTCGGAGGAGATCGATGTTGAATGTCGAACAGCGCGGAAATCTACCGTTTTTTTAGAGTTTACCGGCCGTTTTCGATCGCGTTCCTTCCTCTCATCGCGCCAGGTCCGTATCTTTATTATCGTCGGAGGAGATATACCGTGGACGGCGCAAAGCGCGCTTTATACGCAAAAAAGTCATTCTTGAGGACGCTCGAGGTTCGTTTATTCGAAACGGGTGCCGTAAACGAAAAAACCTCTCTCCGCGTGATTTGTAGCGCTCGTCGAGATGTACGAAACGCGGTGCGCAAAATTCCTTTTCTCTTCGGCATATAGGAGATATCGGAGTTTTCCGGGCGATTCGTCATTTATGTCGCTTTTTTTTCGAAAATTTCTAGAAAAAAAAACGAGAAGCGGAACCGAACAGATTCAAGCTCAGACCCGTCTTTCTTCGTTAGCTATCGAACGAAACCGATCTCGAGTCGATATTTCGATAAACGGCGACGCGGCTGATGGGTAAACGTCTCGACGGCGCGAAAAACCACCGATTTTTCGACTTTACCGGCCGTTTTCGATCCGGTTCGTTCCTCTTACCGCGACGGCTCTCACCCGCCCGTAAAGCGCCGAGTTTCTAGTTTCCGAAAAGGTACCGCTTTCCTTCCGAACGTTTCGCGAACCGGGAAAGAAACCGGAAAAACCGCGTCGACGTCGCCCGCCCCGAGTCTCTAACGTCACGTGACCTTCTACGTAAAACAATCGATCACCGCTTAATATAGTCGATTATGAGTAAATATACTTTCCTGGTAGTATAACTTCGTTCCATTTTTCCATATGGCCAATAGACTTAAGATACGCCTTGAAGGAATGACAATCCCACATGTTCTCTTCTGGTAACAGTTTGTCCCGCTGATCCGTGTTCCTATATCTACATTGAACCGCATGGTTGGTCAGATGTAGAGACTCGTGGAAGTTATCCAGGCTGAAGTTTTGTCCACTGAATCTCAAATAGCTGTCCCTAAAAATGTAAATTGTATTCCACGATTACAAGGATCTTCAACTGATCCAAGTCTCAACCTAGTTACTATTTCCTCAAAACCTATTCCATTTTTCTGGCACTGCAAATAATTGAGACCAGTAGGCACTCTATTGATGAAAATACTACTACCACTCTATTTTAACACGCCTTTATTATAAGCCTGGCATGTATAGTCAACGCCACACAAAGTGGCGTGCACGTCATCACGATAAAAATTCCCCGACCTAATGCCTAGGTTTCTATCACAAACAATTGCTCTATTGCAGTTTCATATTAATGTGATATATAAATTGTAAAATGGTCATTACTCTCTTATTATGGTTAATAGTCATATAAACATTGTTATTAAAATATCACATAAGTTGCTTTCTGATAAATTTAGACGCATTATGCGAAATAAAATGTTTTGCAAACGCTCCAATCACTTATCGACATGTAAACGCACTAAACCGATTTCGCAGCGTTGACACATTGTCACCTTGAAACTTATTTAAACTGGGAACTGACATTTGTATTAATTTTGACACTGAATCAATTTGTGGCATTTCAAATCTTTATAAATCCTTTGGCCCCGCATACGGTAAATCAACAACTGTTTGTTTCAAAACAAAATTATTCATTTTACGAGTAGATAAAGGCAATTTTGGTATATAAAGATGCCCAAACAGTTAAATAGTCGGTGTAAGGAACTCGTGGCCTCGTTAATGCACTACTTTGAGCAAGAAAGGGACAACAACGGGCCTTTGTTGCCTTTAAATGCTGTTCAAGAGGTAGGTTACTAATAATTATATGTAGTGTATATTAATAATAGTGAAATTTTATTTCATTTTTTGTAGCGTGTTGCTGCTGCTTTAAAAATTAGTTTAAGGACAGTTAGTCGTATTTCCGAGGGTGTGAAAAGTGATGCAAATTTAGAATCGCCCAAGAAAAAGCGGAGTTATATTAAACGTGTAACCAACACAGCGACATTGGATACAAGTGCCATTCGAGAAGTGATCTATAATATGTATCACAAAAGTAAGATCTTATTATAATAACTTATCAGAAATTTGCATTAATTTGTTAACTAAATTATAATGTCATATTACACATGGTTTCAGAAGAACAAGTTACGATACAAACTTTATGGTCTCGATTAAGAGATAGGGCATTATTTGATGGTAGTGCCACGTCTTTAAGGCGGTTGCTTAGAGATCTTGGATTTAAGTGGCTTAAGGACAATCCGCGACGAGGGCTCGTGGAACTACCAAGTATAGCTTTGAAAAGGGTGGAATTTCTAAGGCAATACAATCAAGCCAAGGTTGAGGCCTTATACCAGTTTGTCTTCCTCGATGAAACTTGGATATTTCAAAATGGGACCATAGGTCGCTCTTGGCAAAATGGAAACCAAAAAAGCGTGAAAGCTATTAAAACAGATGGTAAAAGGTATGTACTTTTACACAATTTGCACTATAAAATTTAAAACTAATATATTTTAGATACATTATATTACATGCTGGAAATGAAAATGGGTTTATTGAGGGTAGTGAAGCGATATTTTCTTCGAAAACAAAATTGAGCGATTACCATGGAGAGATGAACCAGGACAATTTTTTGAAATGGTTTCAACATCAGTTATTAGAAAAATTGGATAGTCCATCTATGATTATACTGGATAACGCCCCTTATCACAGCATGATATTGAACAAAGTGCCCAACAATGCATGGACAAAAAAAATATCCAAGACTGGTTGACAAATCAAAACATACCATTTTTAAACACAATGTTTAAAACAGAGCTATTGAGTATTGTTGCTCGGTACATAATGCTTCTTAATTATATATATTTTGGTCGACAGTTTATATTTCTTTTGTTTATTCCTATTCTTAAAATAACTGCTTTTTTAGAAACAAACCACCTAAAATATACGTGATTGATGAATTGGCGGAGCAACATGGGCACAAAGTTCTTCGTCTGCCTCCTTACCATTGTATATTTAACCCTATTGAGTTAATTTGGGGCATAGCAAAAGGTTACTATAACAGACATATTGGTAGAGATGGTAACAGTGAAAAAGACTGTTTGGATATGTGGAACGAGGCTCTACAAACGGTTACCCCAGACA